TGCAAATCATATACAGGCCTATCTTATAAGTTACATTATGCCTGCTTGCACAGTTCAATAGTGGTATATTTAAGTGATAATGCCTGAGAAGCCAGTGTTTGGAGGATATATTGGCACAGGTGTTGTTAGGCCCGAGACGAAGTCGAAGAGACAGACAGCAAGGTTTATACAAATCTCTGCTGTTGAAAACGAAATGTTAGCCTAAAATAAATGTGAGAAATAATGTCTGGATGCTTTTCATAGTGGAGATCAAGTTTATAAATTGCTTGGCTGGGTTGATGAGACAATGAATTGCACAGTCAGATGGAACAGAATAAATAAGCCTTTTAACGTCAAAGATTTAGCCGCTGGTAACTTGTTGAATAGACACCGGCTGGAATGCGATATTAACCAATCAGCATTCAGGATTAGACCCATCCGTTGTATAACAAGGAAATAACTACACTCAATGGAGCATTCTGATGACTTACAAATCAAACATATTGCTATATGACCCTTAATTAATTAATGAATTCATGAATTAATATAAAAATGTAACTTGTTTCTGCATGTCAAACAAATAGGCTCGTGGAAAAATGAATTAACGTTATTTTAGATTATGCCAATAGTTTGAAAGTGGTTTATAAATTGTTAGTATTTTTTTAAAACCAATTTTCCTCTAAGATATGAAACACTTGCCTTGCCAAAAATAAAAACACAATGTTTAAATGTAAACAACAACATTCCTTACCGTAAAATACATTTCTCGCCCCAGGGTATTCTTGAGGATAGAGGGACATGGGATATTTTATCAAGACATTTCAATGATCATTTCACTTAACATAGATACAGGATTTAATTAAAGGGAGAAAATGTTCTTATATTATTTAAAGTTATGTAACTGTTGGCATATCTTGATATTCTATACTTTATTAAACATAAAGTAAAACTTGTATATATTTTTTGGTTACAAATCAATTCAAAGGAAAATGTGAGAGATAACCTACATGCCAAACAAGGAACTTGCTTGAAATGGCTTTAAAATGTACTGGCATTGTTTGCACACACTTAAAACGTATGCTTTTCTGCTGTTCATCAATGGTAATAAAGACTATAGCTTATAAATTCCGTATGAGCTTAGTACAACTGCCTTATATCATAAATCTGAATCTAAAGCTGTATTACTCTTTTGTTTATGTTTTCGTTTTCAAATTAACTATGTAAAGCCCCAACATAAAACATGCCAATCTCATGGACTGTCAGCCCTTGCATCGATAGCTCCGTCCACAAATGAGTGGTTATATTTCCCCAGTCCCATCCAGGTGGTACGGTCAGATTGTTGGAATTACAGATTGTAACTTTAACTGCTCATGTGAGCAGTCATGTGTAGAAGAAAAGTATGTGGGATTCTTTAATATCATGTTGACAGGTCACCAAGAGGTTATTCACCTCCATATACACTACTTGGCCAACAGTATGTGGAAACCTGCTCGTCAAACATCTCATTCCAAAATCATGGGAGTGGGTTTCCCCTTTGCTGCTATAACAGCCTCCACTCTTCTGGGAAGGCTTTCCACTAGATTTTGGCCTAGCCCGAACCATGAAAAACAGCCCCAGACCATTATTCCTCTTCCACCAAACTTTACAGTTGGCACTATGCATTCGGACAGGTAGCATTCTCCTGGCATCCGCCAAACCCAGATTCGTCCGTCGGACTGCTAGATGGTGAAGCGTGACTCATCACTCCAGAGAATGCATTTCTACTGCTCCAGAGTCCAATGGCGGCGATCTTTACACCACTCCAGCCGATGCTTGGCATTGCGCATGGTGATCTTAGGCTTGTGTGCGGCTGCTCGGACATGGAAACCCATTTCATGAAGCTCCCGATGAACAGTTATTGTGCTGACGTTGCTTCCAGAGGCAATTTGGAAGTCGGTAGTGAGTGTTGCAACTGAGGACAGACGATTTTTACTTGCTTCAGCACTCGTCGGTCCCGTTCTGTGAGCTCGTGTGGCCTACCACTTTGCGGCGGAGCTGTTGTTGCTCCTAGATGTTTCCACTTCACAATAACAGCACTTACAGTTGACCGGGGCAGCTCTAGCAGATGCTGCTTACTGCCGCTCTGCTAATCTTCAGATGGGGGAGGAGAGGAGGTAGGGGGCCCATGTGGGTAACTGGGGGACACTTACCTTGATTGGTTAACTAATAAATAAAAAATAAAAAAAATGCATAATAAATAAATGTGACTGGTCAATAGTGTGAGTCAGGGGCTGGGCCACAGGAGCCCGCTCTCAATGTTCAAAATACACCAGAGAGAATAATTTAGCCACAGAGGATCAGTAGTTTCAAAAAAATAACTGTGGATAAGATTGTATCACAAGCGAATACAGGTAACTGCCAAAATAAAGGAAACACCAACATAAAGTGTTTTGAAAGGGAGTTGGGCCACCACAAGCTGCCAGAATAGCTTCAATGCGCCTTGGCTTAGATTCTACAAGTGGACCTAAACCACACCAGGAAAATGCACCTCACAGACCATAACATAAACTTTGTATCCCTCAGTTACTCAAGTGTTTCCTTTATTTTGGCAGTTACCGGTTGCCTACAGTCGGGTAAGGCCACAATTTGGGCAGCATGCCCACCAAATATAGAGCTTGTTGCGTTGTGCCCATAGACATATAATCCATAGAAGGGTTATATGTGTTAAACTCATGGGTACACTAGCAATGGCTGCCAGTCCTGACTTGAATGGGAACTGCCATCTACATTTTATATTTACATTTACATTTTAGTCATTTAGCAGACGCTCTTATCCAGAGCGACTTACAGTTAGTGAGTGCATACATTTTTTCATACCATATAATCTATGGATTAAATTTATATGGTTGGTTGCAGCTGTCTGTTTGCCTTTTGCAAATTTCAAAATACAATCGTGAGAAAAAAGTACAGTTTGGCAAGCAAATGCCTAATGCTGAAAACAGAAGACTAATCTGTCTATAAAACCAATATATATATATTTTTGGAGACAATTGAGACATGGATTGTGTATGTCTGTCATTCAGTGGGTGAATAGGCAAGACAAAATATTTAAGTGCCTTTGAACGGGGTATGGTAGTAGGTGCCAGGCGCATCGGTTTAAGAGTGACAAGAACTTCAACACTGCTGGGTCTTTCACGCTCAATAGTTTCCCTTGTGTATCAAGAATGGTACACCACCCAAAGGACATCCAGCCAACTTGACACAACTGTTTGACGCATTTGAGTCAACATGGGCCAGCATCCCTGTGGAACGCTTTTGACACCTTGTAGAGTCCATGCCCTGACGAATTGAGACTGTTCTGAGGGCAAAAGGGCTATTAAAAAACGAAGCCCCCGGCCCTGCCGACTGGGCTCTCAAACTCTGGCGGGCAGCCAGTCTAGGAGATGGACAACTCCAATTACAAAGCCACAAGTCCTCAACAGCTGACCAGGCGGATACAGGAGTCCCATCTCCCTCTCGGCAACTGATAACGGACGAAATTGTATGCACTCGCTCCTGAAAATCGCTCTGGATAAGAGCGTCTTCTAAATGACTAAAATGTTTATGTAAATGATTGAGCTAAGCAGCAGAAGTTTGGTTGTATAGTAAAGTGAACAGAATTGTATTACATAAAGAGCAGAACGGGGGTGGAAGCAATGCTGTTACGCTACTGTATTTCATGAGATGTTGTCAAGACAAACCAATAAATCTACCCACATTCCTCATGTCATGTGAAAGAAGCCTGGTTGCTGTTTTCTATTGTGCAGTGTTACAATGACCAAATTGCCATGATACAAGTGATACAATGACCTAACCACAAAGTACGTTGAGATACCATCTGAGGATTCATTAATTCAATAAGAAACAAAACGTATTGTGTAATATGAGGCCTCTATGGAAACAGCTCAACAGGTAGTTATTACTATGACATGGAATGATGGTAGTTAAGTAATACTTTTTGTTATGGTATATTTTTGTTTCAAACGTTGGAGACAGAAGCTATGTAAAGTGGCATAAATGATCTGAAATGGTGTGGTGAGTATTTATGTTCTGCGTACCTCTTCCTTTTGTTGTCATTTCTGGTGTTCCAAACCCTTTTCTCTGATGACATCAGCATAGAAAATGAACAGGAAAAGGTGTCAAGGGCCTAATGATTCAGATGCTTGGTGACTGAGTGATGGGTATACTGGTGACAACAACTAGCCACGCAGCCCTCCCACCCCACCCAAGCCACACACACAGTCAGGCAGGCAGACAAACAGAGAAAATACCTTTGCAGTGTGCTTTCAACTGATCCTTCCACCCACATTATATCAGCTTCGCCCAGAGCAATTATTTCAACCTGTGGTCAAGCAATCAATCATGTTGAAGTCAAATGTACAAAAATAACATATCCGATTGTGCTGTTTTGATCTCTGCCTGGTAGCTTTGAACCAGCTGGTTTTGTTTCACATTCCATCAGTACACTAACGTTACACACACGCACGATAATGTGATTTGCTTACTGATCCCGTTCCCCCCATTTCAATTAATTTCTGATTTATTGTCACCCTTAATTGTGAATCTTTGGTCATATTATTTTACGCTGTGTACGTTTCCAAAGACACACTTCAAACTCGTTAAAGCGGTTGATTAATTGTAAACAAAGCGGCTAAGCTAGCTAGTTACCTTTTTTTTGATTATCAATTTCGGAAATGTTCAAAATAAAACTCCCCCACTTAATAGTAGAAACGTGTCAATATCGCAACAGTCCTAGTCAATACCCTGTATTTATTCATGATATATGAAAATAAAATGGTCTAAACATTAACAATGGTTCATATTTGTTCATATTAAAGTGACATTTGCATTAAATTTGGGTTTTAAAACATGTTCAAAGAGTTATTGATACAAACAGTGTGATTGATAAGTGAAACTCATAGGCCTCTTGAAGCCGAAGTAGGCTAGGCCCCAACGAAGATGAGGGGCATGGAGATGCCAAACCACAAAGCCAAAATGGCCACCAGTGTGCCGAAGAGGATGGCTGCCAAGAAGCCCTCCACCCACAGGATCAGGTTAATCAGGAAGAAGTCTGCAAACAAGATCCTGAGAGGGAGGGAGAGAAAAGGGGTGGGGGAGGGGCGGGACAGTGGGTATCTCACTGGAAAAATGGGAAACAGCATCACCCCCATAATCTCCATAACGTCTAGACATGTTTAAAGATTTTTTCAGTCATGTTGCCATGATGGGTAAAAGCTGTTATTGACATAAGGGAATATTACTCAAACTACATAAAACATGTTGTTGTACCATGTACAATAGATTGAGGAGGAGTGTTCATTAGAAAAGTGGTGGTGGATTGCATGTGGATGGGAGTCATGAATAATGATGGGTGTTAGTCATCTTGGTGAATAATTTAAATCCAAATGTAGTCTACTCCAGATCAGCTAAACATTCACATTTGCAAAATAAGGATATACAACCCCAACACAACACTCACTGTTCTTGTTATAAATGCATGACTATTGTCTCACGTTAATCAGGACAGCCCTGATCAACAGTCACAAAGTGCTTCACAGAAACCCAGCCTAAAACCCCAAAAATCAAGCAATGCAGAGGCAGAAGCACAGTGACTACCTGGCTGAGGTTGATCAGCAGAGATCCGGGACAAGGTAGCATGCACAGTGAAATTAGGCCAGGGGTCCACAGCTGCAGTCAGAACAGCAGCACGACCAGGGGCTCAGGTCCTCTGGGAGGGGAGACACAGAGATCAAGAGGGGGAGGGAGTATTAGTGGGAGCATACCTAAGATCACACATTACACCAGGGCCTTTATTCAGAAAGAGTAGGAGTACTGATCTAGGGTCAGGTCCCACCAGTCCATATAATTTCATTCATTATGAACTAAAAGGCAAAACTGATCCTAGATCAGCACTCCTACTCTATACGGGTCCAGATAAGACAAGCTGACTCTAGCCCCCCGGCACATAACCTTAGTTAGAATAATTACTGGGGACTAAGACAGGGGGGTTGGGAGACACTGTGGCCACATTCAATGTCACCCCTGGACAGGGCCATCCAGGAAGGAGCTGATGCTGGGTGTACACAACTTTCAAAATCATCGCTGAGCCTCTCACATTAAACAACCGTGTAGTTTTTTGTCTTGCCAACGTGGTGGTGCGCACACTAAACAATATGGCATAGACGGGGTGTCAGACACTACAAGATTCTTCACTTGGTCGTGAGGATTCTCCATATCACCATGACGTCTCGTGAAAACAATGATGTGACGATGTCATTAGGTTGTTAACGTAGCTAGAACTAGCTGTGGCTCAAAGCAGCATCATACGTTTTTAGCAACATAGGTTTTCAGTCATATATTCACGCTTGCCTTACAGTATTGAAATATCTAGCCAACAACCGTTGGTGACGGCTGCGCGCCCCGAATAGGCAATGACATGGGGATTTTGTCTCCGATCTCAAAATCTTGTCTGGGACAGCTAAATCGGGGCCTTTAATCGTGTAGTGTACACCCAGCTTTACCCAACCACTCTGAGACAGTGGTTGTGTGGCTAGCAGAGGCAGAGGTGTGCTTGGCAGATCAGAAAGAGAGGCACAACATTATTTTAATGAGAATTCAGTCCACTTGACAATTCTACAGAATTCAGTATTCTTCATGCTGATGATTTGTACAACTTGAGACAGATAGCAATACAGTACAAATAGATTAAAGCATAATCTGGAATGTAACTCAGATACAGATAATGTGCATGTTGTGGTTTCAAATAACAATGTTACTACGGATAACTAGCTCTATCCATGCTTTTCCTAGAAAATGTCTATCTGATATTATAGCTAGCTAGTTGATGTTGTTCTAGCTAGCTCACCCACAGCAGGCTTTCTCCTCCTTGCTGGTCTGCAGATGCATGACTACATGATCATGATCATGATGCTGTGGCTGTAACATTTAATGTACATTGCACTAGAACAACAACTAGCTAGCTATATCAGATAGACATTTTCAGGAAAAGCAGCTCATATAGCAAGCCAATACAATGTATATCATTGCATTGGTTTGATATTTACATCTAGCCATCTAAAAAATGTGATATCTCTCAGATGCTATCTTTGTAGCAGTTTGCTCTCATCTCGTCTGGGCATTTCAACATTGGCTAACTTGAGCAGAGCCAACCAACTACACGACAAATATACACAGCGCAAACAATTATTTTCAAACTAATGTTAGTCTCAACCAAATGACAAGTAGCTACATAGTTAGACCTATTGCTCTGTTACACATCCCCCCGTATGGAGAATGCTGGCATATAGACTCTCGACATCTAATGTGACCAAAATACAGTCTTCTGTTAATCCCGTTATTGGTGAGATCTTGTTAATGAAGTCTATAGGGTCTTTCACATATGATGGCAATGCTTGCACATGAGATTTAATAAAATAGTCTACAAAGTTCGACAATGGCTCTAGCATTGAGCCTATTCCTGCAACCACTGGTCTGTCTGGATAATTGCCTTGTTGTGTTTTTAGGTTTGTGTAATTTCTGAAAATGTACATGCATGGACGTATGGCACATTTGCAGCAAAGGTATTCATATTCAGGTTTTGAGATAAGGTTGTTTAATAGGGCTTGCTCCAGATTAGAGTTTATATCCCTTTGGAACACCTGTGTGGGATCAACACTCAGTTTTCTATAGAAACGTTCATTACTGAGTTGTCTCAGAATCTCTTCTTTGTATTTTTCATAGTCTAAGACTACCACAGCACCCCCCTTGTCTGCAGGTTTAATAAACAAAGATGACTCTTTCATTAGTTAATTAAATTAAAATTTGTTTTTCTCGTATATACTGACATGGCTTCTTGTTCGTCTAACCGACAATAGGTATTAATCGAAGAGTTGTTAACTGTAGGACAGAATTTGTTTTGGGGCTTAAAATGGGTAACAGTTCTTGGTTGGGTTTCCAGGCCAGAAACAGTGTTTTGAGAAAATACGTGTTTAAGTTTAATCTTGCGAAAGAATTTAAACAGATCTACTTTTGTATTGAATGGTTTGTCTGTGCATGTAGGTACAAAAGAGAGGCCCTTAGATAAGACTGAGACTTGTGTGTCAGTGAGCTCTTTTTTGGAGAGGTTAATTAACGTGTCCTGATGTAGCTACGTGTCCACGTCTGTGTTCCTGGTCCCATCTTTGACCACTTGCCTCTCCTACATAATTTATTTTCTTTAGTGGTGCCTTGTTGTACTGCTTTCGGACAACAAAAAAAAAGTATTTGTGCGATGATAGCTGGGGTCGCTGTCTGTAGGGAATTCACTCTCAGTGGATGCCTCTGTGTCTGCGTTTCCATGTCCCCCAGCTGCTGCGTATCTGCTTCCCCCGGTCAGTGGTGTGTCCTTACGTCGGCCTCTCGGTGCTCCCGTCCTTGGGCCTTCCCATGCGTAGACCTGGTTGAGCTGGTAGTCCTCTGTGTCTCGCTGATATTTCTTGATCTTTGTTGCTTGTAGGAAGTCTCTGTATTTCCCAATGGACTGGTTGATTGAGTTGTCTATGGCTGTGAAGTCTGGGCCTATGAACTCCTTCATTATAGCGTCATGTTCACTGATCTTAACTTCAACCTCTTACTTCCTTTGACACATGTTCAATGATTAATAACATTAAATCTAAAGAACATTTGTTGAGGATTTCACCCCATTTCTGAACGGAAGTTTTGTCATTTTCCCCGATTGTAGGCTCCTTCTGTATTCTCAGTCCTCTTGGAATGCGCTTGTTGCGCCAATACTCACTAAGAGTGGTGCCATGCAGGAACAAACAAGTCTCTTTCTCTCTGAGTCTCTCAAGTTGGATTTTAAGTTCTCCAGTAGAGCGCGGAGCTAGGTTGTCCCTGTTGGAGGTAGGGAAGAGGATCTTATTGGCGTCTTCTTGTGTGAATGAGAGGGTACTCGCACAGTGCGTGGTAAGTGAGGTGATCTCTCGCAGTGGATCCATTGTCTACTTGGTACGTCCTTTTCCTTTTCGTGTTTACTTGCAAGATTTCAGAGTGCAGAGTGAAAAACTGTAAATAAAAACGCAAAAGCACTCGCACATCTGAGCTATCGTTTTTGCAGGAGCATGGTAACAGTTCAATAAGATGACAAAAAAGAAGAAACCCGCACTCTGCTCTTGCTACTATCACTGCTCTTTAATAAGCTTTACGTATCGGCCTCAAGGCCTTCGTCAGAGCTTTTATGAGTTTCTTCTTCTTCATCTTCTTTGGTATAATGTCGTTCGCAACAATTATATGTGCATTCTGCCACCTAGTGTACAGGTGGATAATAAGGATCCAAAAAGGGGAAAAAAATGTGGGGTAAAAAATACATGAATACAAAAATTCCATACAAACTATCAGTAACAACATTTTAATTCAACTAAATCAGCCTGCTTTTCTGTTTTAATCAGGTCCCTACACAGGCTCAGAAGGATCCTGTGATGGCGGGACATTTCCAGGCGATAGTAGTCCTTGCAGTGCTTCTGCCGTTAAGTCTTGGAGGCACAAAAACGTATTGACTGCAGATATAATGATGTCCAGCTTCTTGGACTTCTTGGACACTTGTGCAGTACAATTAATAATTGTGGCTATAATTGCTACAAAAGCCACCTTTTTCACAATAAGTGTATCCAGATCACTTAATTAAAGTATAATCATTTGCAACTGGTTGTGGTGCATCCACCACCACATCTTCTTCAGAACTGTGGCCTCTTGCCCCATCAATGCTCTTTACCGCTTCCACATAGGAGATATGCTGTACGGACCTGATCCTTGACACCTCAACCTCTTTCACCCTAGCAGGGCACTCAGGGAGTTCGGAAATATGATCCCCACCACAGTTTCAACATTTTACATTCACAGACTCTACAATAACATATTCCTTCCGTAACACTTGACACATTGCCAAACTTTTTACACTTCTTGCATTGCATCAGGTTTTGTACAAACGCTCTTACGGTGTATCTTATATGTCCCAACTTTACATAGGGTGGCAAATACTCATCAAACATCAATAATACAGATAAACTTTGCTCCTTTTTCCCATTCTCCATACGGGTCAAGCGACGTGCATTAACTACTCCTGGAATTTTTTGCCTAAGATATTGATTATCAATGTCCAACGGGACGCCAGAAATAACACCTTTTATCAGTGCCCTGCTCCGAAAATCAAAGCTGTTCACTTCATGCGTCGATATTTTCGCGAGCCACAATGGACGCTCCTTTTGCTTTTTAGATACACACAATATCAACACGCTACCACTCCTGATGACTTTGACTGCATCCACTTTTCCCAATGCCTTCTTCACCATCCTCGTGACTTCAAAAGGGTTTCCCAAATAAACATCTTTATCCAAAAAACTTACGCCAACAAGGAACAATTCATCAGACTCATTTTCCACAACAATTTTAGGCCTTTTTGTTCCATTCTTGGACTTCACTGTTGTCCACTCATCTTTCTCGCTAACTGTACTTGACGTGCTTTCAGCTTCAAACGACACTTCTGCTTCCGCCATCTCACTGTCCTATGGTGACAACCTCTTCTCTCTACAGCTATCCACAATGAATACTGGCTCCACTCCCCTCTAATCCCTTATAATTAGTTTTTTATTAGCACCCTTATGTAGACATAGCTCCACCCACATCCATTCAATGCATCGAATGGGTTTGGAGTCGAGGGAAAATAAGTAAGTGCTACCAAATATAACAATGCGCATTTAATCAATATTATAATGAAGTGTGTACATAAAACGCACAGTGCAACAATATGATGAAGTGTGAATATTTCTGCCACCTACATACAGGAAAACGTTTCCAAATAAATTACATTATTACGTGCTCCACCACCCATGTTATCTACAGTGGCTTGTGAAAGTATTCACCCCCCTTGGCATTTTTCCTATTTAGTTGCCTTACAACCTGGAATTAAAATGGATTTTGGGGGGGTTGCATCATTTGATTTACACAACAAGCCTACCACTTTGAAGATGCAATTTTTTGTGTGTGTGTGAAACAAACAAGAAATAAGACAAAAAAAACAGAAAACTTGAGCGTGCATAACTATTCTCGGGGTGATGAGAGGTGTTGGGTTTGCGCCAGACATAGCATTTTCCATGATGGCCAAAAAGCTCAATTTCTATCTAATCTGACCAGAGTACCATCTTCCATATGTTTGGGGAGTCTCCCACATGCCTTTTGGCGAACACCAAACATGTTTGCTTATTTATTTCTTTAAGCAATGGCTTTTTGCTGGGCACGCTTCCGTAAAGCCCAGTTCTGTGGAGTGTACGGCTTAAAGTGGTCCTATGGACAGATACTCCAATCTCTGCTGTGGAGCTTTGCAGCTCCTTCAGGGTTATCTTTGGTCTCTTTGTTGCCTCTCTGATTAATGCCCTCCTTGCCTGGTCCATGAGTTTTGGTGGGTGGCCCTCTCTTGGCAGGTTTGTTCTGGTGCCATATTCTTTCAATTTTTTTATAATGGATTTAATGGTGCTCCGTGGGATGTTCAAAGTTTTGGATATTTTTTATAACCCAACCCTGATCTGTACTTCTCCACAACTTTGTCCCTGACCTGTTTGGAGAGCTCCTTGGTCTTCATGGTGCCGCTTGCTTGGTGGTACCCTTTGTATTGTGGTGTTGCAGACTCTGGGGCCTTTCAGAACAGGTGTATATATACTGAGATCATGTGACAGATCATGTGACCCTTAGATTGCACACAGGTGAAATTTGTTTAACTAATTATGTTACTTTTGAAGGTAATTGGTTGCACCAGATCTTATTTAGGGGCTTCATAGCAAAGGGGGTGAATGCATATGCACGCACCACTTCTCCGTTATTAATTTTTCGATTGTTTTTTAAACAAGTAATTTTTTTCGTTTCACTTCACCAATTTGGACTATTTTGTGTATGTCCATTACATGAAATCCAAATAAAAATCAATTTAAATTACAGGTTGTAATGCAACAAAATAGGAAAAACGCCAAGGGGGATGAATACTTTTGCAAGGCACTGTACATGATTAAATGTCCATGTGGGCTGTGTTATGTAGGTAAAACATCTCGTTCTCTCAAACAAAGAATTAGTGAACATAGAAGTTAAATCAGGAGAAACGACAGGGATTATCCAGTTGCAGTACATTTTAATGACCAAAAACATGACATTTCTACCTTTAGATTTTGTGGCATAGTGAAAGTCAAGATATCAGACAGGGGAGGTGATATAAATAATTATCTGATCAAAAGAGAATGTTTGTGATTTTCACCCTCCAGACATTATTTCCTAAAGGTCTTAATGATGCAATGCCTATGTACGTTATGTTGTAAATGTGAACATGAATTAATGCCATGTCTTCAGATTACTCTGACATTTTTCGATGGGTCGATGTCCTCATTGTGGTTTTACAGACGTGTGTAATACGTTTATGTACACACTTTATTATAATATTTATGAAATGCACATTGTTATGTTTGGTAACATTTACTTATTTTCCCTCGACTCCAACCCCATTCGATGCATTGAACGGATGTGGGTGGAGCTATGTCTACATAAGGGTGCTAATTAAAAAAACTAATAAAAGCTCTGCCGAAGGTCTTGAGGCCGAAAAGGCTTATTAAAGAGGAGTGATACTAGCAAGAGCAGTTTGCGGGTTTCTTCTTTTTTCTCAAGCATTTATGTAATCAAAACAAGCACATTAAGCACAAAGGCTTAATAAAGGTCATGTTAACTGACAATAATGGACTAAAGGAGCCTAACGTTACTCCTTATAGTTCAAGGACCTTATGTGTTCTGTTTAGAGGCAAATTGGCTCTGGCAGCCAAAACAGCCAAATACTCCAACTAAACTTGAATCGATTCTAAATTGCGATACAGTTCTAGAAACATAAAGCCCTCTGCTTTCATATCACATCAAAATAATTAGAGTAAGACATTTAACATTAGGGAGATAAAGGTGCTCAAAGTTTACCCATTTTGCATACCCCACCATACCATGAGACATCCAGAAAAAATAAACAGTTTAGTTTGATATCCTTTAAAAGCTTACAAATAGGGTTGTCACCATTTTATAATGTCATAAAAACATCCCATTCTCCATACGGGTCAGCGATGTACATTAACTACTCCTGAAATGTCTTGCCTAAAATATTGAATATCAATGTCCAACGGGACGCCAGAAATAAGACCTCCGAAAATCAAAGCTGTTCACTTCATGTGTCGATATTTCTGAGAGCTCCTTTTGCTATTTAGATACACACGATATCATCACGCTACCACTCCTGATTACTTTGACTGCATCCACTTTTCCCAACGCCTTCTTCACCATCCTCATGACTTCAAAAGAGTTTCCCAAATAAACATCTTTATCCAAAAAACTTACTCCAACAAGGAACGATTCATCAAAGACTCATTTTCCACAACAATTTTAGCCCTTTTTGTTCCATTCTTAGACTTCACTGTTGTCCACTCATCTTTCTCGCTAAATGTACTCAATGCGCTTTCAGCTTCAAACGACACTTCTGCTTCCGCTATCTCACCCACCCCTTCTTCTTCCATGGGGCGAACT